TTTGTTACAATTTTACCCCTTATTTGTAAAATTTTTGGAAAAAACCCTTATTTTGAAATTAATTTACAAATATATTCATATACATAAATACCCCTGGACTTTAAATAAATTACCCAAGGGTGGTGGCCTGATCTGGCCACCGACCACCATCGTAGGAGGTCAATGGCGGCAACGAAAAAGCGCATGACCAACCTGATCTAGCCAGCCGTGCATCGGAAACAGTCAGATCTATGGCCATTTCATGGCCAAAGATGTAGTCATGAAAAAGCCAGATATTTAGCGATGAAAAGACGGCCATTTCACAGCCAGATCTCCACTATAGTTGCTAGCAATGACTTGAAGTGGGTGGGGGTGTTTTTGTTAACTTTTAAACTTTTTTGTTACTGGGATGTTTTAGTTAAATCTTAAATGTAAGGGGCTAAAAAAATTATTTAAAAAATAATATTATATTAGTATTAAAAAATAAGGGCAATTTAATAATTTATATAACATACTGTTGTTGATTTTCGCAAGTGTAAGAAATCGTGCAAGTAATAAAATGTATAAATATGGATATCGAACCCAAGGAAATTACTATTATCAATTACCAATTAAACTATCTTATTACTATTTGATCAATCCAAATTGTATCAAGGAAAACCTAAATTAAATAAAATTAACAATTGAAATTAAAAAGAAAACCGAAAAGAGAACAATTAAAATAAACCTTTGGGTAAAAACAAGATGACTATACCTACGGCATAGACTTCACACCAACTCTTATTCATATGTATTGATCTCTTATGCTAATTTTATTAAGCTCTTTCTACAAGTCAAACTCCCTAAATTTCCAATAACTTTCTCTCGAACAATTATCAAATTGACCCCTAATTACTAACTTGAATTATCTCTAATCAGATTTAAGCAATTGGATATCATTACGCTCTATGGAGTTTACTAAGACCTCACAAGTAGCGGTAACCTATCTCTAGCTTTCGCTCAACCTATGGTTTTACTACCATAGACCAACTAAGTATCATCTCTCGATCTCAACCTAGTCCATTAATTCATTCAATTCTTGGGCCCTTAAGAATCAAAAGAATTAGAAATAATAGTAAAACTTAGGAAGAATTCTTAATAAACATTAACAATCAAAGATCAATACATAATTAAGAGATCGGGCTACATCTTAGCCCTAAAGAATAAATTTAGTTCATAAGAAACATGAAAGAAACAATCATCTTTATTAAAACATTCATTATGAGTTTACAAGAAAAGAACAAGGAAAACTTCTCTATATAGTGAATCAAAGCTCCAGAACTTCTGTTACTTCTCTTCTCTGCAGATTTTTCTCCCTTTCTTCTCACCAAAGAAATCCCCCAAAATAATGCTAAAAAACCTCCCTTTATATCCCACAAGGATTAGGGTTTTATTTTCTTCAATTCTATTAGGGATAGGACTCTTAACCCAATTTTTCTACCTCAAAACGGATATGTGATTTTTAAGTTCCATGACTGTGCCCCGGTACTGTGCTGTGGCATAGTAGCTACTGGAAAAAGTGTGTCGCGACACAATAGCTGCTGGCCTTCTTCCTGCATTATTCTACTGTTCTTTAGAGATGGTGATTTTTGAACCTGATAACGATGGAATTTGGAAAAGTGGTAAATATATGAGATATAGCCCTTTGAATTATCTTTCCAACGGTTTAAGAATCGTCTTAATCAAAGTTCTACAGCTCAAGATATTCTCAAAATACCGAGATATGCTCAAGCTGGAACGTAATCTGGAATCTTCTCTTTACTTCAACTTCCATAACTTCTTCAATTCAACTCCGATTCTTGATCCGTTTGTTTCCACTCATCATCATTTTGTTGCCAACATGATTCTTCATCTGAGCATAATATTTAAGCATTAATAACCTGAAAAACACTCAAAAACACCAATGATCTCGTAAAAGGTAATTATGAAAATATTAAGCAACTTTACCAAATTAAGCCTAATTTCCCATAATTAATCCTCATAAACTACTAACTAAATGTGTATTTTCAAGCTCTTATCATATACCCACCAATTTATTTATCTCAACCAAACATATTAATATCATATATCTATCAATTTATTCCAACCAATCAAATATATTTCCTTAAACATTTCTAATAATCTTCAAAGTAATCTATCTTTCTATTAATATAACATTCTCTAAACCAAACATACCCTTAAGTTCACACCGTTACTTACAGGAAAATTAAATTAAACCAAACCATCTTATTAATTAATAAATTGTCACGCAAATGTTATTCTGATTCCTAAATTATGGAGAACAATGTTGACTTTATTATAAGATTTTTTATTATTATTATTATTACATACGTTAGAAAATCGAATCCTCAATAAATTTTCTTCAAAGCGAAATTTAAATTAATAACAGCATTTTTATAGAAAATTCCCACAGAAGAACGAAGTAACATCCTCTCTTTATAAGGAATCTCATGCTATGCGTATACTTTTAGCTATTTGAGGCGAAGATTTATACTTTATTATATTTATTTTTACACAATATTATTAACTATATACAGTATTTGTACCATCTATAATTTAACTATAAGATCATATGGTTTGTTTTTTTTTTTTTTTTTTTTTTTTAGGAGTAATTTATCACAAATTTTTTCCTGGTCAAGGAATAAATAATTTTGTGTTTATTTTATTGTGTTTGATTTTAAAAAAAAAAATGATTTTTAAAATAAAAATAATAAGTGAGAGTTTCTAAGGAAATACTAGATATGTATTATATTATTATCATGTGACATGTTATCAAAATAGTTTCAAGCTTTCTATTTTTTTTCCAAAAAAAAAAAAATAAATAAATAAAAGAACTCTTACTAAAAAAAAAAAAAATACTTCAATTAATGCATGTGCAATGAAATTATTATTTAATCATTAATCCCAAAACTTGTTCTTAGAAAATGATAATGAGCAAGAAAAAAAAAATTAAATTCAGAAAAAAACAAATAATTCATATTGCTATTGAGTAAATTAAGATAATTAGATCAAATGAGAGAAAAATCAATCTGAGATTAAGATAGTAGGGCTCTTTTATTTTATATTCATTCACAAAATAAAATAAAATATAGTTGATGTTTAGAAAAACAAATAATAAAAAAAGTGATGAAAATGCTTGAATTAGGCTATTTTGATTAAATAAAATAAATGGATGTTAATGTTAAAACATAAAGTATAATTAAAAGTTTACCATCAGTGCGGCTTCACCGCTCATGGTTCCGTCCCTATTTGTATCTATTAAAAAAGAATGTTAGTCTTACTCAGTCCCCCTATTCACTTCTCTTACTTATCTTTGTAATATACAAATAGTAAGGGTATCATACGTATAGTATGAATACCATATATCATTTTAACAAAGGTGAGTAAGAGAAAGGTAAGTAAGGTTAGCATTTTCCTATTAAAACTATCTGTGTTATTTAAGCCTTACAAAAAACTCATATAAATCTCTTTTAGTTTAGAAGTTAGTTTTAATAATATTATAATTCATTTTAAATAAACCTCTTTTTTATTTTCTTAGAAATCTTTTCACATATATGGATTTTTACTTCTTTTTTTCTTCATAACAAATTACCGATGTTTATATTTAAATGAGGTTTCCTTTTAAGAGAAATCAAGATGAGTATCCATATTATAAATTATATCTTTTTTATTGAGAGATTAATAAAATTGCTTTTAATTTAAAATTTTAGAAACATAAAAAAGAAAAAAAAGGTGTGGAAATAAGGAAAGAAGATATATGGTTAATTCTAATAATATTGATTTTATGTCTTTTCTTTTGTTTTCATGTTCTGTTTATTGATACGTATATTGACTTAGAAACTGGAACCATTTAATATTATTGAGATATTTTTCTTATAAATATAAATTAGATTGAATAACAAATTAATATTAATTTAGATTGAATAACATACAATTTATTACTGATTTTGACCATTGAAATGTCACTTTTACCCTTAGTAATAACAATCAAAATGGACACATGTTGAAGAAAACTATCCTAAGACCATCCAAAGTAGCCCAAGCCCCTTCATTATCAACTGGGCCCGCTCAACCAAATAGAGGTTTAAAAAATGAGTGATGTTATTTAAACCTTATTAAATCTCTTTGTAAACTCTAATAATAATTAAAATTATTTTAAAAATAACTTTAATAAGAATTTATATCAATATCATGAGATGGATGTAAAAATAATTTATCTTTCCATCATTCTCCTAAATTATAATTTTTTTTTTTTTTTTAATGATCAGGGTGTCCAAATCAATTTATGTACATTTCAACTAATTTCTTGAATCTTAGAAATACCAGTTGAATAAGAGATCTAATAACTATCCCTATTAGCAACTATGAAGGGATTCGAACTCATGACTCTTAAGTAATTACTTAAGAGTCTCTATTGAACCACTCGATATCCAAAAGTAATTAGTCCTATATATTATTAAGTTCCATCATTCCTAATTTTCTCCTATATTATTAAACTAAATTTCTTAAATCAAACACTAAGTATGAAAATATCTAAATTTTTTTTTTTTATGTTTGATTCGATCTTCCATCTCTTCCAAAAAAAAAAAAAAAAAAAAAATTCAATTATGCCAACATAATTTCTAAACAAAAAATTTCAAATTACAATTTTATGAAAAGTTTAGGGAATTTAGAAAACTAGTAGAAGCATAAATGTGTATATGATGATTACTAGCTTAAAAGAAATATAATATATTTAAAAAAAAAAATTATCATTGAGGTTTGAAAGAAATTTGATTGGTCTTAAATAACACTACTATTAATAAAAAATATCAGACAGACCCTCCAGAATTCTCTGGTATTTTCCCTCCTTCGCCTTTTCTTGATCTTTCTCCAGTGCTCGCTTCTACCAACTTCTCCATTTTCTTTACATTTCCATAACCTCCTCACTCACTCTATATATATGCTCCTCCATAACCCCACTTCTCATCAAACATCGAAAAACAGCGACAAAGCATTCAACTCAACAACACAAAACACCAAATTTCTTCAACTCTCTCAAAACCATCAAACACCTTTCTTGGTTCTTGAATTCTGAACCATGGCATCCAAAACTGAAGGCAAAGCTATTGGCATTGATCTTGGCACGACTTACAGCTGCGTCGGCGTATGGCAAAACGACCGCGTTGAGATCATTGCCAATGATCAGGGCAACAGGACTACTCCTTCTTATGTAGCCTTTACTGACACTGAACGTTTGATCGGAGATGCAGCTAAGAACCAAGTTGCTATGAACCCTCAGAACACTGTCTTCGATGCTAAACGTCTCATCGGGAGGCGCTTCTCTGATCCGGCTGTTCAGAGCGACATGAAGCTTTGGCCTTTTAAGGTCATTCCAGGGCCTGGAGACAAGCCTATGATCGTGGTTCAGTACAAAGGGGAGGAGAAACAGTTTGCCCCAGAAGAGATTTCATCAATGGTTTTGACTAAAATGAAGGAGATTGCTGAGGCTTTTCTTGGTCTGAATGTGAAGAACGCTGTGATTACTGTTCCGGCTTATTTTAATGATTCACAAAGGCAAGCTACAAAGGATGCAGGAGCTATAGCTGGACTCAATGTTTTGAGAATTATCAATGAGCCAACTGCTGCTGCTATTGCTTATGGTTTGGACAAGAAGGCGTCGAGGACCGGTGAGAAAAATGTGCTTATATTTGATCTTGGGGGAGGAACGTTTGATGTTTCATTGTTGACCATTGAGGAGGGGATCTTTGAAGTAAAGGCTACTGCTGGTGATACTCATCTTGGAGGTGAAGATTTTGATAACAGGCTTGTTAATCATTTTGTTGCGGAGTTTAAGAGGAAACACAAGAAAGATATCAGTGGCAATGCCAGAGCTTTGAGGCGTTTGAGGACCGCGTGTGAGAGGGCTAAGAGGACTTTGTCTTCCACCACACAGACGACGATTGAGATTGATTCACTTTATGAAGGTATTGATTTCTATTCTACCTTTACTAGAGCAAGATTTGAGGAATTGAACATGGATTTGTTTAGAAAGTGTATGGAGCCTGTTGAGAAATGTCTTCGGGACTCCAAGGTTGATAAGTCTCAGGTTCATGATATTGTTCTTGTTGGTGGATCAACAAGAATTCCCAAAGTTCAGCAACTTTTGCAAGATTTCTTCAATGGCAAGGAACTCTGCAAGAGCATAAACCCCGATGAGGCTGTCGCTTATGGAGCTGCTGTTCAGGCTGCTATTCTGAGTGGTGAAGGAAATGAGAAAGTTCAAGATTTGCTACTTCTTGATGTTACACCTCTTAGCCTTGGAATTGAAACTGCTGGTGGAGTAATGACAACCTTGATTCCGAGAAATACAACGATTCCCGCCAAGAAAGAGCAAGTCTTTTCAACCTATTCTGATAATCAGACCAGTGTGTTAATTCAAGTATATGAAGGTGAAAGGGCTAGAACTAAGGACAACAATCTTCTTGGAACATTTGAGCTGAAGGGCATCCCTCCGGCACCAAGAGGTGTTCCTCAGATCAATGTATGTTTCGACATTGATGCAAATGGTATACTGAATGTGTCTGCTGAGGATAAGACTGCAGGGGTGAAGAACCAGATCACAATCACCAATGATAAAGGAAGATTGAGCAAGGAAGATATCGAGAGAATGGTACAGGAGGCGGAGAAGTACAAGTCCGAAGATGAACAAGTGAAGAAGAAGGTAGAGGCCAAGAATGCGCTAGAGAACTATGCTTACAGTATGAGAAACACAGTGAGGGATGAGAAAATTGCAAGCAAGTTGGACTCAGCAGACAAGCATAAGATTGAGAAGGCGATCGATGAAACCATGGAGTGGCTTGACAGGAACCAACTGGCTGAAGTTGATGAATTGGAGGACAAGTTGAAGGAGTTGGAAGGATTGTGCAATCCTATAATTGCAAAGATGTATCAGGGTACCGGTGGAGATGTGCCAATGGGCGGCGGTCCTGAAATGCCAAGCGGCGGTGGCTATGGAAAATCTGGGTCTGGTAGCTCTGGTGCTGGGCCTAAGATTGAAGAAGTTGATTAAATATGAAAAGTGACACCTGGGAAGTTCTGTTTCTGAGCATTGCTCATTTTATTCTGTTTCCTCTTATGCTTGAGTGACTTTCATTTGATGCATAGGTTCAGAAAGCCGTGAGAGATGATAAAATAATGTAACAGATGTATATTTATTTTTCTAAATAAAATTATTGTTCAATATTTTGTTTGAAAGTGTTACAATAAGAAATTGTGTTCTATTTTCTTCATCAAACAGCAGAATTGGAGTACAATTCCTCTTATTATTATTATCTATATAGCATTGACAATACGGGATGTGAAAATTGCAAGCAAATTGGACTCAGCAGACAAGCAAAAGATTGAGAAGGCGATCGATGAGACCATGGAGTGGCTTAAGAGGAACCAACTGGTTAAAGTTGATGAATTGGAGGACAAATTGAAGGAGTTTGAAGGATTGTACAACCCCATAATTGCACAGATTTATCAGGGTGCTGGTGGAGATGTGCCAATGGGCGGCGCTCCTGAAATGCCAAGTAGTGGCTACGGAAAATCTGGGTCTGGTGGCTCTGGTTCTGGGCCAAGATAGAAGAAGTAGACTAAATTTATGAACTGTCACTTGGGAAGTTCTGTTTTTGAGTATTTCTCATTTTTCTTATGCTTGAGTGACTGTCATATGATGCATAGGTTCAGAAATACTGCAAGAGATCATAAATAATGATGCAGATGTATATTTATTTTTCTAAATAAATTATTGTTCAATATTTTGTTTGAAAGTGTTACCTTGCAATAAAAATTTGTATGTTCTTTTCTACATCAAACAGCAGAATTCGAGTACCATTCCTATTATTATTATTATCATCGATGTATCTACAACAATACGGGATGTGACAATTCTTCTATATGATCTCTTCGAAGAGAACCTCAGAATTTCTGTATTGATTCAAGTCTGCTGATGGAAATAAGGAAATGTTCCTCCGAGGTTCATGCCTACCAAATGCAGCCCAATTAAACCACTGCAATTTTCCAGGGCGGTGAAGAAGGGGTTGATATTAGTGTTGTGGTCATGGCTTCCCATATTTTTATTGGAGATATGTGAATGAGGGCAGCTTCCCCACTGTCCGAAGGCAACTCACCGGAAAGATAATTAGTCGACACATCCAAATTGTACATTGAAGTGTTTATGATAAGACTCCCTGCACTGATAACAAACAACAGCACAAACAGCCCAAGATAACAGAATATATTCACTCAAGCAAGTCTCAACCAATTATATTACTAGAGAATGGAAAAGAAACAACCAAAATATTGATAACTCAAAAGATAGATCCTAGCAATTCGAGGAGCTGGGGGCCTCCCACAATGACACTATTTGATCTGTGTCATTCACCAAAATAGACCCTTTATTTATACTACCTTCATGACTATCTATTCCACTAACAACTTTGATTCCCTTCTCATACGTGGCTATAACCACTTCTTTAACAACCTACAGCAAGGCACCTTACACTCTTAACCCCTTTCTGTCCCTATTGTCCCTTATGCCCTTTGTATTGGTAAACATGCTTAATGGGAGGTCTATTAATAACAACCCCACCCACCCCCCCTGGAGAGCCACCTTGTCCTCAAGGTGGAAATGAGGGAATTGTTGCTGGATCACATTGTAAGCCTCCCATGATGCTTCAAAAGGAGTTAAGTCTTTCCATTTGATAAGTACTTCCTGAGAGCCATTTAATAAATTAAGTGCGGTCAGCCAACAACGATTCTATTTGAACAATGAGTTCCATATCCTCAGTGAGGCAGGATGGCAGGGGTTGGATGGGTACCAAAGGGTGCAAACTGCGTTTCAGTTGAGAGATGTGAAAGACGGGATGAATTCTAGCCGTAGGAGGCAGCTCCAACCTATAAGCCACCTGCCTAATCTTCTCTAGTATGGGGAAAGTCCCATAAAACCGAGGGTTGAGTTTTTCATTCAGTTTTTTGGCCAAGGACTTGAAACGGTACGGTTGGAGCTTCAAATATACCTAGTCCCCTGGTTGAAAATTAATATCCCGACGACAGAGGTCAGCAATTTCCTTCATTTGTGCTTGAGCTACAAACAAGTTATGCTTTAGTTCAGCCAATATGGAATTTCAGGCAGCCATTTGCTGGTTGACTTCTTCCACCGAGGAGGGGTAATCTAAAAACTTGAGGAAAGTGGGTGGATCCTTGCTGTAGAGGGCTTTAAAAGGGATCATTTTAATGGAGTTGTGATGTGTGGTATTGTACCAATATTCTGCCAAGACAGCCACTTATCCCACTGTTTTGGCTGCGAATTACAAAAACATCATAAGTAAGTTTCTAAACATCGGTTGACCACCTCTATTTGGCCATCGATTTGGGGGTGATATGCCAAACTGAACTTCAGCGAAGTGCCAACGGCCTTAAAAAGTTCCTGCCAGAAGTTGCTGATAAAAATCCTGTCGCGGTCCAAAACTATAGACTTGGGAAAACCGTGGAGTCGTACAATACCAGAGACAAAAATGGCTGCAACATCCTTAGCGCTGTAGGGGTGACACAGCAGAATAAATTGGTCGTATTTAATGAGTCGGTCCACTACAACCATTATGGTATCCTGTCCTTTTGCTTTTGGTAATCCTCCAATGAAGTCCATGCTAATATCTTCAAAAACCTGGGATGGAATGGGTAAGGGCTGAAGAAGACCTACTGGTTTGAGAGAAGAATATTTATGTGATTGGCAAATGGAACACCGTTGGACATACTCTTGCACATCCCTTTTAATACCGTCCCAAATTACTATATTCATCAGTTTCTTATATGTTCTGAAAAAGCTTGAATGGCCCCCTCTCGGGCTGCTGTGAAACTCATCTAAAAGCTTAGGAATGAACTTCGAATTTCTGAGCAAAACCAACCTGTTTTTGTAGATGAGACAGCCACGGCGAAAACCATACAAAGGATGACTGGTAGGGTCAAAAAGAAGGTCTTGTATGATTGCTTGTAGCTTTAGGTCTTGCTGTGCTTCAGCCGCTAACTCATCCCATTCAGAAAATTGTACTACCGAAATGGCTGCTAATTCAGCACCCTCTCCGCGTCTCGACAAAGCATCAGCCACTTGGTTTGAGTTTCTCGGTTGGTAGTGGATTTCGAAGGAGAACCCTAAGAGCTTGGAAATCCATTTCCATTGTTCAGGTGTTTTAACCCGCTGATCCATTAGAAACTGTAGACTGCGTTGGTCAGATTTAATGATAAATTTGCGTCCACTTAAGTAATGGCTCCACTTGTGGACAGCGAACACAATGGCCATCAGCTCCCTCTCGTATGCTGATTTCTATAAGGCTTGGTGGGAGAAGGCTTGGCTGATGAATGCAATGGGTCGCTAATTCTGGACCAGGACAACTCCAATTTCCTAACCTGATGCGTCTGTGTGTACCTCAAATGGAATATTGAAATCTGAAACTGCCAGCACCGAAATTGAAGTCATTGCCCTTTTAAGAGTTTCAAAGGCCTGTTGTGCTTGGTCATCCCATGCAAAAGAGTCCTTTCGCAGCAACTATGTTAACGGTTGCGCGATTAAACCATAATTCTGCACAAAATGGTGATAGTACCTAGTCAAACCCAAAAACCCCCGTAATGCTTTGATTGTGCATGGGACGGGCCAATTTAGCATTGAATCAATCTTCTGTGGATCAACTTCTACCCCTTTCGCTGAAATTAAATGACCCAAATAGTCCAATCTTTGTCGGCCAAACATACACTTCTTGTAATTGATTACCAATTCATGTTGGGTGAGGATCTGAAAAGCATGTCTCATGTGGCTTAAGTGAGTCTTCAAATCAGGACTGTAAATAAGGATGTCGTCAAAAAACACAAGTATGAATTTCCGCAAGACTGGTTTAAATATGGTATTCATCAAAGCTTGGAAGGTGGAAGAGGCATTGGTTAATCCGAAGGGCATGACCAGGAATTCATAATGCCCTTCATGTGTCCTAAGAGCTGTTTTGGGAACATCCTCCTCTTTCATCCTAATTTGGTGGTAGCCGGATTTGAGGTCCAATTTCGTGAAAATGGCTACCCTTGATAGTTCATCCAACAGTTCGTCAATGGAGGGAATTAGAAACTTGTCAGGTATAGTGATATTATTTAGGGCCCTGTAGTCCACACAAAAACGCCAGCTTCCGTCTTTTTTCTTAACCAACAATACAGGACTAGCAAAGGGACTAGTGCTGGGTTGTATTATCCCTTCCACCAGCATCTCACCCACCAACTTTTCTATTTCATTTTTTTGGGAGTAGGAGTATTTGTATGGGCGAATGTTAGGAGGTTTGGCATTGGCTGCTAAGACTATGGCATGATTAGTGGGTCTCTTGGGTGGGAGTGGAGTAGGCTGTTCAAACAGATGGCTAAACTGATTTACAACTACTGCTATTACCGGATCCATAGGTTCCTTTGCTTCTTCTTCCTTGACCCCCATGGAACAAAACTCAATCACATATCCCGCATCCTCTTGCTGTAGGGATTTCATCATTGCTTTTAAGGACACAACCGTCTTGACTAATGATGGATCCCCTTGTAAAGCCACCCTATTTCCTTCACTAATAAAGGCCATTGTCAGATTCCTCCAGTTTGCACACACATCACCCAATGTACTAAGCCAGGAAACCCCTAATACGACATCTGGCCCCCCTAACTCAAACGGAAAATAGTCCTGGCACACTTCAATCCCCTGTATCCTCAATTTTACTCCCCTACAAATTCCCTCCCCTTTGATAGTAAACCCATTTCCCACCATCACTCCAAACGATTTTCCCTTTTCCACTGCTAAACCTAATTTTTACACCAGGTCATGCGAAATGAAATTGTGGGAAGCCCCACTATCGACCAGCACAATCACCTCTGTACTTCCAATCACCCCTTTCAACTTTAAGGTTTTATCGGTGGTTACCCCAACGATTGAGTGCATAGACAGGGCCAATGGATTACCTTCTTCGTCGTTTTCTGAGGTAGGTTCAAGCGTGCTTTCGTCGTTTTCGGTCACTTTGTCGTCGGTGACCAGCAAGATCTGGATTGATTTGCTCCTGCAGTGATGGTTGGGTCCGTATTTCTCATCACAGCAGAAACAAAGGCCCTTTTCTCGTTTTTGCTACAGCTCAGCGTCGGAC